TTGCTTGGATGACCCAGAAAAAGATAAAACCATTATTTATGCAATACTTCCTTTGGAATGTTCCGTTGTTTTGAAAGTAGAAGCTTGCGAGCACTGGTCCTTCAGCGACGAATGCAAGGAATTATTTTGCATTTTAATATTAAAAACTTCGCGGTTGAGCCTGAATTATTTTTTTCTCAGTTTGATTATCATGGATGCGATAGCACAGTCTACCGATTACAGGATCGGAAAAAATATATACCTACTTTCCTTCCTTATTGGTTATCTTGCAGGAAGTTTCACACCTATATAGACCTTACCTAATTAGCACCCGGTCACGAAAGTATTCCAAGATGAGGGTTTGTTTTGTATACTTCATCATTGTATTGTTCACACTTTTCTATTCCAATACGGGTATGTAACCAGGCAAGGGAATTGTTTTGTGTGCATTATGAACAAAAATAGGTACATTAAGCTTTTTTTGTAATTGAATTTTCCTATTCCAGCGGATGACTCACAAGATAAACGAGGTCTTGCAAAGAGAGCCATCGGAATTGGCATTGTTAAACACACTAACGTCAAGCGAGCTATTGGGTCATCATTCAACAAGAAGTATCACCAAAGAGTGGGTACTGTTTGGTATCACTAAACGATTGCGGATAATGATGTGATCCTATAGCCTATAGTCCTAGACGCGCAGAAAATGTGAACAAAATATAAAATTACATAAATAAGGTAGTGTTATGTTCCCATTTTCCCCATTTTTTGTGCTTGAATCAGTGTGATTGTCTTAACATATTCAAAATGAAATTAACATTTTGCAATTGTTCTTTTTATATTTCTACCCTACGCTGATATAAATGCAGTGAGCAGAGTGCAAAAGTATCAAAATGTCGTCTACCATCGCTTAAATTTTTATCAGATTCTAAGTTTGCATGAATATTCTATTTCACTCAACGATTAGGTGCTTGTGTATCGACAAACAATAAAAAAGGAAAAAGATTTCGTTTCGTTAGGTAGTTACTACCGGATCATTTCTCTTAGATCTCCATTTCATAATATTAAACTCGTCAGAAGGAAGCTTTCAGTTGTTTGGCCTTATGTGTCTTGAACTGTACTTTTTGCATATTTGTTTACCATCTCGCCATTTCACCTAATGGCAGTTTTATTTGGGAACGTTTAGGACAAATCTGTGGTGATCCAAGATATTTAGCAAATACTAATTTTGATAAAATTTTGAGACTTCAGTCTCTTTCGAATAACGTAGGTACATTAAAATTATTGTAAAGTGGATTTGAAAAGAGCAATCTGCCACAACTGATAGCTTCAGTAATAAGCTAAACTTTATTTAGTTTTGATATAGTTAATTGCCTTATAAGCTTTAGTTGATGAACGGTTTTTACAAAATTAAGTATAAATTTAATCCACCTGCGTCTCCTCAGTTCAATGGAGACAACAGTCAATTGTATGTCTTATAGGACAGCAAAAACTAACCTTAGGAAAGTTTCGGTACAACAATGGTGTGTTTCATTTGCAAACGAGATCCGCGGAAGAAGAACGTAAAATGGAGAAGGAAAAAGGTTTGAAAACCCTGTTTGAATGCAGCCAACAAAGCACACGGACAAAACACATTCGGTTTTTAAAAAAGTGCAAAGAAGTGACTACGGCAAGTGTAGGAAGGGGTACACCAATCCGAAAATGAATGCATCTTACATTCGTCGAGGATATAAAGACAAAGAGCACCGAGAACGTTGGTCTCGTTCTAGAGTCTTCCAACTTTCGAGAGCATGGTCTTTTATGTGGTGAGATGCTCACAGACCTTTTTCAAAAACGACATAAGAAAAACCCCCAAGACTCGCGTAAGCAAGATCATTACATCACAACAAGAGAGAATTTTTTAACTTAGCTACTTGTATGGAAAACGAGTAGGGCCAAAAATAGTGGAGCAATTGAAAAATCCTCACTTGGATTTGGTAGCTCTTGACGAAAATTTTGGAGTGAGATTTGGTCAGATCTCACTATAGAGCAGACATGATGAGGTCGTGTAAAGTATAAGGCGGCTTAACTCAGAATAACATGTAGATGCAAGGCTTTCTCGAGTCAATCGGGATAACAGTGTCTCAGTCATGCTGAACCAATAATTTGACCAACACCATTCATATCCGCAAAATGACACAGTGATATCACTCAACAGTGGAGTTGTTGATGGTGGAGAGAAAATCAACCGTCATGAGACACAATCTAACGGCACTCTCTGTATCACTAAAATGATTATGGTTTATAGGGAGCCTGAAATTGAAAAGGAAAGACCAAATAACTAAGGGCTATTATCATCAGTGAGCATCAGGAGTTAGAACCTATGAGAATTATAGATTCCGGTTCCTTACTATTTAGGTAAAATTATTTTTCAAGGATTCCGGTACCGGTCCCGGTTCTGTAACTTCAGTTATTTTCGCTTCCGGTTTAGATTTAGGTTTCTTTTTCGGTTTTCAACACAAATAAATAAAATAAAACAAAAAATATAAATTATGTATTATTAATTATAGAAAATAAATAATACGCAAAATTAATGCACATTATTCTTTTGCATAAACATATTTTTTAGGTTTAATTGAAACTTATTTTTAGCTTACGCGTTCATTTCACCTCTGTCAACTACCCGTCTTTTTCTCCTTTCCTTTTTTTCAGCAGTAGTTTCAACTGTAGCTTTCCTCTTTCAACGTTCAACCGTCGTACTTCTTTATTAAGGTTCACAAACATTTTTTGATATGCACTCTATCAATTTTTGGAACCAAATCATTTATAAAATCCCTACATCATCTACTACAACTACAACATTTGTCCTAAACATTTTTTCAATTTCGATTTTCCCCTTCGCAGGATAGATTGAAAAAAATGTTTAGCAGAAATGTTGTAGTAGGCAGTGTAGGGATTTTATAAATGTTTTTCTTTCAAAAATCGATGGGGTGCTTATCAAAAAATGTTTTTTTAAATTTTTGATCAATCGTTAATTTGCTATTTGAAAAAAAAATGCAAATACAAATCAACGCGGAAAGATAGTTTTGAAAATGTTTGATTTTTTCAGTAGTCCTTAAAATAAGGTAGTTATGGCGATTTTTCGAAAAACAAATGAACACCAATGACTTCAAACCGGGCCACCAAATCATAAATTGGAACTAGAAACGTTGTTGGTTTTAACTGCCGTTTTCGGGTGTTTTCGACTTAATATTAACACCCCATAGGTAGCAAACGAAAAGCGTCTAGAGAATTCTAGACTCAGCATATAATACTTTCTGGACAGTACACGCCATATGTTCGCTTGCACATTATCGTCAGTGACTGTCCCTTTATCGACTTGATGGCCAAGAATAAACTCTTCCCTTCTGAATTACGTTGAGAGTTTCAAATTTCAAAAGCCAAAAATCCAAATTTTCACTTTTATTCAGAGCTTTTCACTTATTTCTACCAACTTAACCTTTATACTAAACAAATACAAAATATTTCAGAGATGACTACCGAAAATTAATCAAAAACCCTAAGAGGGTTGAGGAAAGCAATAATTGAAACTACTGCTGAAGAAAAGGAAAGTAGAAAAAGACAAGCAGTTGACAGAGGTAAAACAAACGCGTAAGCTAAAAATTTCAATTAAACCTGAAGAATACGTTTATACAAAAGAATTTAATGTACCTACTTTAATTTTGTGTATTATTAACGATCCTCGAGATCGTTTATAATTTTGTATTGCTGTCTGTCTGTCCGCGTGCACGATTATTTTGTGTAGAAACGTCCAATTGCTTTGAAAATTGATATACATGTTCTTCAGGATATAAGAGTGGTCCCTATTGTCTTTCAAGTTACAGCCCAAAAACTGCCCGAACCTCCAAAAAGGGTTTCTTTTAAAACTCTTGTTACAAAAAATATATGAACGTCCGCTTTTCTGTGTTGGTAAATATTCCTTAAACCTCAGACAGATACAAAAAATATTGCGCATGCGCATTCTAACATTTGCGCAATCCCAATTTTTTTATTTGTTAAGATATTTAAATGAAATTTTATATATAGGCACCTCCAATAAAAGTAAAACTAATGCCGATTCAAAAAATTTGTTTTACAAGCCATGCTGACCTGGTGGGACAGAAACAACCCCTTAAGGTGTATTGTAAATATGATGTATGTGTGAAGACTGAAGATATCGAGGATCGTTGTATCGGATTTTTTATTTTCTATAATTAATAATAATTTATAACTTTAATAATAATTTTATTTATGTTCGAACCCTTAAAAAGCCAAAAAAAACTCGAACAGGAACCGAAAATTACTGAAGCCACAGAACGGGAACCGATACCGGAACCCTAAAAAATTTTTCTTGATGGTAGATAAGTATCTATATTTTAACAATGTAAACTATTGAAAACCATTACTATTTTACCATATAACCCGCACTTCAATTCAATGCCTATATAATCTTTATGAAACTAAATAAACACCCTTAAAGCAGATCTAAAAAAGCGGCAGAGCACCTCGGTGTGACCCTACGAGGTTATTGGATTTGACCCATTTTCGATATGCTTGTTACATGTGGCATATATTGGTAGATCAACTGTGCAAAGTTTGAATTGAATAGGTTCAAGCGTTTGCCCAAAACAGAGATGCGTGGCCCCACCTGGTCATTGGATTTGACCCATTTTCAATAGGCTTGTTACATATGGTATATAGATCAACTGTGCAGAGTTTGAACCAAATCGGTCCAAGCGTTAGGCAGTTATCGGGGTTCACGGACAGACGGACGGACCCTATAAAGCTTGCATCGCTTTGCTCTGCGCTTAATAAACGGTCAATAACTCATTCATTTATGGTGTGCAAAGATAACACTACAAATATGAGCACGGCTAATTTATCGGTACAAGTACAATAATTGATTAGTTGCTCACACGAGCCGCCACTGATCTTTAATGAAATGATGGCGACACTATCCAATAAGATTGCCAGATTTTTACAGATTCCTACTAGATCTACCATATGTAATCGACAAATCAAAAACCGCATCTGTTACAGTTGGCGTTGGATACAAATTGTTGCTGAGTTGGAGGTTTTTAATAAATATTGTTAAATCGCCGTTTTATAAATTATACACATTTCTTTTAAGTTAATATTTAATTCCGCATTCATTTACATTTAAGGTGAGCCCTTTTAGTAATAGAATTATAATTGCTTTAGTAAATTATTTGGTATGAAGCAATCTTAAATTTCATGCTTATTTCCTTCATGGTAAATTAGTTGTGTGGGTGCGCTATATAAGATGCTTTGATGATGTGGACTTTCTTGCATTAATGCAAACGTGTACTTTCAGGCAAGATGAACTTCATGCAGCAATCTGTGTTAGTGCTTCTACTGGCATTTGTGGCAATCGCGATTCCCAAACCGGAAGAGAAAAAGGACAGAGTGTACGATAGGGAGTTAAGCAATAAGGAACACTACAATCACGAACAACACAATGCCGACTATGATCACGAAGCTTTTCTGGGCGAAGAAGCAAAGACATTCGATCAGTTACCACCCGAAGAAAGTGTCCGTCGACTGGGGTAAGTCACTGCTTTCATTCACACAAACATACTAACATTGTTTTTAGATTAATAATCGACAGGATTGATCATAACAAAGACGGCATTGTCAACCTAGAGGAACTTAAAGACTGGATTAGATTTACGCAAAAACGGTACATTATGGAGGATGTTGAACGCCAATGGAAGCAGCAGAATGCAGATAATGGCAAAGATACTATCGCCTGGGTGGACTACAAGAAGATGGTGTATGGTTTTCTAGACAATATGGATGCTTCCGACGTTGACAAAGAGGATGAGGGCTTTTCTTACAAGAATATGTTAAAACGTGACCGTCGCCGTTGGACTGCTGCTGATTCAGATAAGGACGACTCATTAACCAAAGAGGAGTTTGCCGCATTCCTTCATCCGGAGGAAATTGACCATATGCGTGACATTGTTGTTCTGGAAACTATGGAAGATATTGACAAAGATGGTGATAGTAAAATCTCATTGGCAGAGTATATCGGTGATATGTACCGTGCCGAAGAAAATGAAATTGAACCCGACTGGGTGAAGAACGAACGAGAACAGTTTAATACCTACCGTGATAAGGACGGTGACGGTTTCATGGATACGGAAGAAGTTAAGGGTTGGATTTTACCTGAAGACTTTGATCATGCCGAAGCGGAAGCTAGGCATTTAATTTACGAGGCTGATTCAGATGCAGACCAAAAATTAACCAAAGAAGAAATTTTAAGCAAGTACGATCTATTTGTGGGCTCTCAAGCAACGGATTTCGGGGAGGCATTGGCTCGTCATGACGAATTTTAGTTTAGTATCAATTCCATATTGCAGTGCTGGCTTCACACTTAGCTAGCATACCACGCAGCTTTATTGATCATTAGCTTTTTATCTCTAATTGGAATCTCTAGCAAGGGGCATGACGCTGATTTAGCTTTATGTAATGTTTTTTCTTACAATGATTTTATCCAAAGTTAATTATTTTTTAAGTATGTGTACCTACCTACTTAACATTATAAGAGTATTGTAATTTGTGTTCTGTAGTTTTAAGAACTGTAAAGATTATTATGATATTTGTGCCAATATTTATAGAATTTATGAATTTATCTACTAATACACAAATTTATACCAAATTTATTTGTAAGTTCCTTTAACATAATTTCAAAGATTGTGAATCTCAAGGTGCTCTATTTTTATATGGATATCATGTACCTAGTGATTAAATACATTGTCATTTACTAAATTTTTTTTAAACTTTCATATATATTTAAAACTTGGAGACATACTGCTGCTTAAGACTACCTCTAGATTAAATTTCACATACTGTCACTAAAAATATTGAGGCTCTGGAACTTTAAAAAGTTGGGTTTTTCAAATAGAATATGTAGAAGATCCGACAAAATTTACATCATTCTCATGTAGCAAAGTCAGTATTGTTAATTTTGGCAGACTCAAGTCAATATAGTGCACAGGGTTGAAGAGAAAAGTAGTAAAACATTTTAAAAAATCTTGAAAACCATTGATATATCCAATAGGGAAATGTGGCATCAAAGAACGTAATTTTGAAAACGTAATAAAATACAGGGTGTTCTATTTAAAATAAGAAAGATTGCTATATCCACATCCAGTAAAACCTGAAGGCTAGACAGGTGCATGATTTTTAAATCAGTATGTCAAGTTGCCTATTATAATGCAGCAAATTTTGTATGGGTACAAAAAGCGGCCCGTTATCCACGATAATACCAAAGAATACCTTACTCTTAGATAATACCTAAGTATAAAGTTACCACCAGATTGCTGATGCCAAATGAATGAAAAAGACAATTATAGGTAATAAACACAGCTACAGCTATTACTGGGAGCAAAGAGTAATGGGTACTCTTTGCCGAGAGACTTGATGTATTGTGGGCTGCCTATCATCAAGATTATACATGTACCTACAAGTCCTTTTTCCAAAATATCTTATCTATAAAAGTTATGGACTAGAAACCAATTTTGAAAGAAAATTCAAAGGGTTGTAACTTTTGAACTGGTAGCCCAATCTTGGAACTGTTTGAAATTATGGATTCTACAGGGTACAATCTATAAGGTAATTTTTTTTCCCGGTCGATCTGAGACAATTTTTTTTTCGGGCCTCAAAAAAAGGCAGTGTATAACCTTCCTTTTTTACCAAAAATTGATTACACCAAAATTTCTCGGGAAAACACTTTCTCTTATTAATTTTGGTGCGTAGAATCCAAAACAATTCGTACTTTTACGATTAGACACTCTCAATCAAAAGTTATGGACTGGAAACCAACTTCGAAAAAAAATTCAAAGGGCTGTAACTTTTGATCTAGTGGCCCAATCTTGGAACTGTTTGAAATTATGGATTGTACAGGGCACAATCTATAAGAAAATTTTTTTTCTCGGTCGATCTGAGACAATTTTTTTTTCGGGGCTCACTAAAAGGCAGTCTATAACCTTCCTTTTTGCCAAAAATCGACTACACCAAAATTACTCGGGAAAACACTTTTCCTTATTAATTTTGGTGTGTAGAATCCAAAACAATTCGTACTTTTTCGATTAGACTACTCAAACAAAAGTTATGGACTAGAAACCAATTTCGAAAAAAAATTCAAAGGGCTGTAACTTTTGAACTAGTAGCCCGATCTTGGAACTGTTTGAAATTATGGATTCTACAGGGCACAATCTATAAGACCTTTTTTTTCCCGGTCGATCTGAGGCAATTTTTTTTTCGGGCCCCAAAAAAAGGCAGTGTATAACCTTCCTTTTTTACAAAAAATCGACTACACCAAAATTTCTCGGAAAAACACTTTTTCTTATTAATTGTGGTGAGTAGAATCCAAAACAATTCGTACTTTTTCGATTAGACTTCTCAATCAAAATGTATGGACTAGAAACCAATTTCGAAAGAAAATTCAAAGGGCTGTAACTTTTGAACTAGTAGCCCAATCTTGAAACTGTTTGAAATTGTGCGACTCGGCAGCAACTCATTTTCGATCGCCCGTTATCTTTAAATGATATCATGCTGGCGAGTGGTGGGTCCCAAACCTAAAAAATGTTGCCCCAGTTTCGAATTGACTTGTGCTTTTACTGCAAAGCTCCGGTCATCCTAAATATCAATTAATTCGTTGGACATTTTCCCCAGAATATCCAATTGTCACTTATCATTTAATTGAATACGGTCACCTATGGAGTGTCCTCGTCCTATATATTACTTAGCTATCGCCGTTGAAATGTGGCAAAACTGTAAGATTTGGTATCATGAAGTCCGTTCTGTACTCGAAATGGGAAGATAATTTATAAAGTTATACAAACGGACTCAAAACCGTTCCCATATAATTTAATTAAGTGTAAAAAGGAAGACACATAAGACCTGTTTCGACTTGACGTCATCTTCAGGTGTTCTCTGCAAGATGGAGGCAAAAGGAAACGGGAATCTTATACTTTTGAACACCCTGTGTTCAAATTGAGGCCATACTCAATTTGCGGCCAATTATTTCTAATCCTTCCTGTTTTTAACAGCTCTTATTAATACAGCAGAAAATTTTAGTAAGTAATCCAAACTGAGTATAGCAATCGGTGGACGGTGTACTGTGTACAAGATCAACGAATTGATTCTAAAATGAATACATTCGGTATTGTCGTTGAAACAATATCTGACACTACCTTGCAGATGGCACCTTTATATTCCACCTAGTACCTACGCCGAATTTTGGAAGTGTCCGAAGGTATCACGCGTCCAAACCTGACTTGCCTTATTCCCTTTTAAGGGATATTGACCTAGCTAGGTTTTTTTATGGACAGAAAGGTAAATGTTGTGGTCTTTATGCTTTAGACACTATTTCTAAAGGGGCAGAATTTTTTTTTGAGGGTTTAGTGCTGAATAACAATGTGTTTTAGCACAGATATACCTATGTAACGTATATCTGTGGTCTTAACATAATAATATGATGATTCCGATTCTCAATTCTCAACCCCTTGCTTGTAAAATTCCATTAACGAAAAGACAACATTTATTTCAATAATAACTATTATATACAAAGCCTTTTTAACATGCAAAGAAGTATTATCATACCTATATCAACATAAAAGCTTTGTGAATCTCAAGTCTATCGAAATTGACGAACAAAATCCATTTTAGATAATACAAACTGAGAGACAACTAAATCTCTAAACACAGTGAAACGAAATTTCTCCCACCTTCGCCGATAGATTTGAGACATAACTGTATAATAAATTTAACCGTAAAACATTAGAGAAAAAACAAAGAGCAAATTACAAAAAGTGTGAACTTAACTACTAAATATCTTTTTTTTCAATTAAGTAATATATTAGAATAAATAATAGTAGGTATCATAGAGGGCGAAATCCTCACAAAAAATAGGTAGTATTCAACTTTTTCTTTATATAATACAAATTATACATAAGGTACTTAATCACACGAGTTAAAAATATTTACAGATTGCGAAATCTTGCTTTCAGATTATTATTTTGTATACACCTGAGAGTGTTCAACAGGCCACGAAAAATTGTATACATGAAAGTGTTAATAATTTAGATCACATTATTAAACTTAAGTTATAATATTCTAATATTGCGTTTCATATATTTTTCATAACAATCTGATGTTTAACATAAACTATAACGATAAATTAAAACTCAGTCTCTATAACAAAGAATTGGAATGAATGGCAACTTAGTCATAATCTAAATAAAATATTTGTGTCAAATATCTTTTAGAATGTACATTCTTAAGTATAATGAATCGTATACCATGCGGTTGACATGAGTTAAAAACCCAAGTAAAATTATTAATATTGTCCATTTTACAGTGAACCCATTTTTGGCAATAAGACTAGCACGATTTGAGATCCTCACTGACCAAAATATATTTCTTCGTGACTTTGCAGTAGTCTGTACCTAAATCTAAATCACTGATCAAAGAAGCACTTTACGCACGACAGTTTATAAAAGTTAATTCTTTATCAGCGGCGTCTTCAAGAAGTTATTCATCATCCCTCGCTGGCGGTGGGTTCTCAGCTAAGACAGACGAGATCGTCATTGTGGAGGATCGAAGGTTTCTGAATCTGGGCTACCATATCCGCTCGAACCGTCGTCGCGATGATTGTTACTAGGCGGTCGCTGTGGGACGCCCAACGCAGAGTTCTTTTCGCTGTAACAAGGTGGTGACGTCAGAAGCGAAGGATGACGAATACCAGTTAGATTGTCTCCTGCTGGCTGAAAGAAATCAACCAATTCGTCTAGTAGTGGATATTTTATAGGTAGGAGACAGTTTGTTGGCTTTTATGAAAGATGAGATGCTTGAAAGTGAATGAATTGCCTTTAAAACTAGCCCTCAATTAACTATAAGGTTAGAGCACTTGTTTTTAACATCATTACATTAATGAGGTACCAAGTACCAATATAGTGAGAAATAAAATATGACTTCTTTTAGTAACGATGGAGGGTTCGAGTTAGAACCTATTGTGAAATGTCATGTAGGTATAGTGATAGGTCACAGACGTTTAATTGTAACATATCCGCGTAAAAGGTAAATCAAACAATGAGAGCGAGCACAAAAAATATATATGGTACTGAATAATGTGCTACGAATAAATAGGAAATATAGTAAACGATTGATATGGATTGTTGCAAATGTTAGTGAAGAATGTCGGTAAGCCACTACCTACTGCTACTAAGTACCTACTTATTAAACGACTTGAACTTGAACCCGAAAACTGCGAAAGTATCAAATTATTATTACGCAAAAATAGCCCAAAATAAGCATAGCTTTGAGGTGTAGACGGACTTTCAGTTTGACAACATTCAAACGTAGACCAACAATTTGCTAAAAAAGGACAAACAATGCGTGTGCGTGCGTGATACGGTAAAACAGTAGCATAAAATGAGCACAAAATTACCTTAAAATTGGAAACAGTGCAATGTCGGTACTTCAACTTTATCAAATACTTAATAATAAAATACTCCAAAAGCAATTTTTAAGCTAGCAGGGCGAATCTACACAACCGTGAAATGTATGAATTTAATATCTAGTTTGAGTACAAAATGTCATAATAGTGTTAACCGAACTTTTATGGAGCAATTCATTCAGACAGTTTGGTCAAAACTGGTGCTCTTACCCTACATTCCCTCGTAACGATGCTTCTTTGTCAAAATTTAATGTAAATGAATTAATTTATGGATGTCATTTACGGGAAAAATGGGGCGAAAGTGTAATCCATTAAATTTTTTTAACGTCCTATTCTCTAAAAAGAATCGTTAAAAATAACACAGTGTAAACGATAAATGTGAATCATTAAATGCTTGCAGCAAATGGACTCGAGTAGTTTTCAAGCAAAGTGCTTGTTTGAAAGCTAAAAGCTATGGAATGAAGCTCTTTACGGTGATAGCTGCTTGTAAAAGATCATATATTAAGTATTACGCGTTATTAGAAACTACAAATTACTGTATACTTTTTCTTAAGATTATTGAAAGGAGAGTCGATTTCAAAATAAACCCACTTGGAAAACTGAATTGTAATTAAATCAAAATTATAATTATTGATTGTATTCATTTCCGTTTCGAGCATATTTCAGAAAATATGCAATCTCAACGTATAATAAAATTAAAAAGCCTATCAATACAACGGAGTGTATTGGCAAGTACCTACCTACGCCATTATTGTAAAATAAAGTAGAAACACTTATGTCTAATCACGATTGTTCTACAAGTAAAGAATCACTTCCTTTTAATGCCTTATAAAAACCGATTTGAATAATGTATTGTGCATTGTCATAAACTAGTTCTATTTATGTTAAGTGCGCCATTATAACATACTTTTATGAGTTTCACAATTTAATTCTATTGATGTGCACAATAGATGCTATATTTAATTTTGTTAAAATTCGTTAGCTACGAGCGCTGCTTGGCGAGTGGGTGGCTTCGAATAGTTTCATGTCAGCAATGTTATAACTGAAGTATTGTCTAATTTCTTCACACTCCCAATATTTACGGATGAAGTACTTAGTGGGATCAGTGTGATTTGATCGATAGAATAATGCCATGTAAAGAACTTCCATTTGAATTTTAATAGCACTGCCGTTATATTTTTTCTGTAGGAGAGAGTCTGCCTTGTTGGGGAAACGGCAAAATAGTAATTTTGTAGAAATGTACTAGCATCTACTCAGATATCGTTTTTCTTGATAATATAGAGGGCTCTACTGGGGAAACCGCCCGAAATTTTATCATTTTACATGTAATTTTGAGCAGAATCACTTGTAGAGGATTAATTTGGCCGACATTTTTTCCACCCAAAATGAATAATGCGCCCTCGAAAATTATGTCAATTTTCCCAGGTTACGCCTTTGCATAAATGACGGCGTCAATAAAATATTATTCATCCAAAGACAATTTGACTCTATATATCCAATATATCATTCTGAGCTTCTGGGGGTTCCTTGTTTAGTCTAACAGATGTTAATTTATCCTTATTACACGGTAAGTCTGTGGTTATTAGGAATTACACCCTCAAGATCCTTAAAAGTATTGCATTGCGCCAATTGCTTTCAAAAATCTCAATTTTTCCCATGAGATTTTGTATTTACTACATTCTCTTCTTGGTGCCTTTATGCTAAACGCAGCGTACACTCCACAAAACTTAACTGAAAATGTTAATCAGATAAGGATTAGCCGAATATTGGACGCTAGGTTTTAATTTTTTAGCTCTCCTCGTATCCAACCCTTAGCTTTATTATTTTATTAATACTTTTAATATTTTATTATTCAATTAACGCTACATATGACTGTGAAATAAATGCAATCGTCCATCGTTGTTAAGAAAACAAATTTGTTTCTCTTATACATTGCCTTAGAATTCGCGTGTTTTACTGTTAGACAATAAATTCATTATTATTAATATTTTTAGAATCAAGAGCGCTGTCCTTAACTTTTGCCAAGTGTTCCCAGGCTCTCCTCAAGATTTTCTCAAGCTCCTTCTAAAGTTCCATGTTTTCCTCAAGTTCCTTCCAAATCTTCCAATTATCTTTACGTTGCCCTCAAGGTTCTAACAATTTCCTCTTAAGCTCCTCTCATTTTTTTCCAATGTTCTCAATTTTTTCTTATATTACTTTCAAAACTAGTGTCTTTAAATGGGCTTCGAACGTCTCTTAAATTCTCAAATTCACTTCTTGGTCCCTTCTCAAGTTGCTCTCGGATTATGAAATTTACTGCCTCACCCTTTCGGGAATGTAATTCCCTTTGCGTTCAAATTTCTATCAATTTCCTCTAAATTTTCATTCAAGTCTTTTTAAAGTGTCTGTAAGTACCTTTTTAAGTTTTGTCCAAGTTCCTTTCGACTGTTTCCTACAACTTTCCCTTAAGTTCCCCTCGAGTTCTCTTAATTCCCCCTTAACATTCCCTTATTTTCCACATTAGTCGCTTGCAAGTTGGTCCAAAGTTCGTCTCAAGTTCTCTTCAGCTTCCCCCAAATTTCTTTCAGGGTTCAATCAACTTTCTTTAAAAATCATTATTACTCCCAACCACCCAAGCTCCACTTCAAATTTTCAACGAGTTCAATTTCCAATTAAGTTCCCCGCAACTTCTCCACGGGTTCGTTAACAAGTTGTTCTAAACTTCCAAAATTTTCCTCAAACCGCTCTCAGATGTCTAAATTCAAAAGAATGTAGGTAATGGAAGCTCGTGACATGGAACACTGAACACCTTCTATAGTTTCACTGTTTCAAGACTTTTTACGAGTCTAATTTGCTTATTCTGATCTCAAAGGGTCGAATAAAAGATGATGTTAATAGATTACACCGAGATCTAATTAGTTTGGACTATTAATTTCAAAAGCAATTAATATCTAATTTGGCACAATTTCAAGGAACAACCAACTCAAAGTTCAAAGTACGTTATTTCTCGCAATTCGCATCCAAAGTGTTAGATATATTTATGTAAGTATTGTAGGCTTTTGTAAGGCATTAAATAAAAAGAAAAAACAAATGTTAAACTGTACAATTATTAGATTATTACCTGTAAATTACTGACTTGCCTTCGTATATGCGCCAGACTGCTTGGATTGTATGCCATATTTGCAAAAACTAATCTTTCTTCGTAGTCGTATTCGCAAAGAATTTTATTGTCGCACAGGTAGAATCGGTCACCGACACAAAACCTGTTGAGAGAAACATGTTTGCTTTGTCACCATAATTAGAACGAGTTGGTCATTAACACATCCATACTAACTACACATTTCATAATAAATTGCATTACACCTGATTTACAGCCTGCTGAAATGTAGACTGCTCGTAATGGTTTTCTACTTTTATATTACTTAGTTTAAGCGTTAGAAAAAGAAATTTCCCATTTCAAAGTTTTTGCTTTACTACTTTAATTACAGTTAAGAAGGCATCGAGTTCTAAATGTATAAGGAAAAACGACTTAAACTTGTCAACGTTCGGGTATCATTAAAGTGGTATTATAATTCTCTGGCAGTAATTCAACGTAAGAGCATTATGTACTGTGGAATGGCTATTAACAATACCTGTGGTTACACTGTTGGCATGCGAAACATTCGAGATGATACACATTGCTTTTTGCACGCATTACCATCTCAAATGCAGGAATCACTTTATTGCAAGCTGCACAATAACCCGTCGTTCCGAATAACCTAGAACAAATTAAGACAAACATTACAAGACCATAACTAAATGAATTCTTTCGATTGGCAGAGACATGAATGGCAAGTTTCGCGTTTCCGCCATTTACGCTTTTTTTAGACAATTTGACGACTATACATATGGAGTTAACTTTGTGCTATTATTTCTCTTTTCACAAGTACGTAGCCAGTTCGTTTTACACTTTTCCAGTAAGCCAATTTGATTTGATGCAGAATTTAATTGCAGTTTTTTGTTTACTTTACTGTGCTTAATGGGGGGTTTAAACATACGAGACACATACATCCCCAAAAATCTCAAAACTATCCTACATAGGTTGACTTCGCAGTCATTTCCTTAAAAAAATTAAGGCAGCGAAATTTGACGGCCGTTTAGCACACCTTCAAGGTATAGGCCGAGGTATAGGCATATTCATTGCAAAAAAAATCCAAGACTCTTAAGACAATAATTCCCCTAAAAGTAGTTCAAAAGTGATAGACGTACGAACGGACGGACAAAATGCAAAAAATAAACCTACATGCAATTTCACCATACATAATCACTTTAGGAAAGAGGGGCACATGCGCAGCTTGGACGATCCCCACGACAGAATGTCCATAGCTTTTGGAAAACCGCATACAAAAAATGTTTTACTATTTTGTTCTAAGATACATCGAGTACATAGCAAAGGTTTCTTACCAGGGAAAGAATTTAACAAAAGATTCTTCGATTTTGTGTTAAGTTTCTAGGTATGCGACGTGTTAGAGTCGGAATTTCACAAACATTTTGCCAGAGTTAGAATAGGCATATACAAAAACTTAGAAAAAACAGTTAGTTCTATTCTTTCATGATAATTGTTGAGAAAAAGACGATGAAATGCACAATTACCTTCTGGAAAATAGTTCCTAAACAAAACGTTTTTTAGAAATGCTTGTTTTTGTTTTTTTTCTGTTGCATCTCCATGCAATACTTACCACCTATTCTGTTTGTTACTCCCAAGGCTGGATGTCTCAAATACAATCCGCACCTCCTAATAAATTTCTGAAAAACGAACAAAACATGTTCGAATATGTCCAACCGAAGGGTATACAAATTTAACCCAATTTCAACCCCTTAAATAATGTGTCGATTTATTTTCTCCATTACTATCGTTCACGGTATTATTACTTGTCGGACCCCAGTAACACCTAAAGATATCATATAGGGGACACCACCTTCTAGAGGAGCTGCCCGTGCAGATATTTGAGCGCATTCCTTGCCTACATTTTCGGTGTCCATATTTTTATTCGTAAGTAGCATCGAAAATCTGAAAGCGTAAAGTGGAACGCATGAGATTCTTCCGAATATATTGGTCTCTGGCCATTGAATTCATAATATGGGAATTCCGAAGTGATAGCCTGTGCTGCAAGGGGACATTATACATGTACGTGTATACCGCCATTTTGACTTCACTCGTATACTTTCTTTAGTTTTCTGCTGTAATTTCCATCGACAATCGCTGCTTCATCTACCAGTAGCCCCTCTAATTTAAGAGGTAGGTTAATTTTATGTCATTGAGGCGGGATTGATTTCTTATTCGACGTGCAAGTTTTGTGTGAGAGAACCAGCCATATTTTCGTTACGTCTAGTTTTCACCTCAGAACACCGTTACCTGCGAGTGCCGACGCCCTTCGTTTATTTAAACATCTGCCGGCAGCGAGCGGCCATTTTGCTGCCAAAAGATTATCAGAAATAGGGCATCGAGTCACAACACCGAGGATCGACAATCATCTGCGACAATTTCCGTAAACCTTTAGGGTCTTAATTGACAACTAGTTTGCTCCTTCATCAGGGTTATATGCGTTCATATTTAAGTAATTTGTGAACTTCCGTATCTGGTCAGTATCCTTGTAGTTGAGCTATGATCGAGTTTGAAACGAGAATGTTGTTGGAGCCCAGTACTTCTTTCTGAAGGGGTGTACTAAGTATCGTACTCGATATAGAAGCAAATTACGAGTAGAACGTGACCCTTCAGGCATTAGTTTGTTGACTATGCCGAGCCCTGTGGTTTGGTAGGTTCTTTGATTGTTATAGGTAGGTGTTACGCACTGGATGCGAGATTTGAGCTCGTTTATTCAAGGTAAGCGTTCCTATATTTTTACTTGTACTTGGAATTATCCATACGAATTTTTAACCGAAATAACTTTGTAAGGTACCTGTATAGAATCGTTGTGAGGTTTAGTAAACAGCTTAATCGATCATTCTTAAATCAAGATTTATTCATTTAAATTTAAATTTGTAAGGAAGCCATACTTATTGGTAGAGATAATTTTACTTGGAATTAATTGGAATAAACCAGTATTTCTTTCGATAATTTGAATTGTTACTTTCCTTGCATTTTCCTAGTTTTTAAAATAAAAACTTTTTATACAGGGAGAGTTAAGTTTAATAGACTGGAGACGCTCAACGAATGGTAAGTTATAAGGAAGACCGGAAGACTATATACGCTAAACGAATCAACCGCTCTGGAAGATTTTAAGCCTTTAAATTTTACAACCCTGAACTGGTAGGCCGTTTATGCGGTGGGTTTGGGACAAAGCAGCACCAGGCTAATCCTACTGTTATAAATTTCCATTGCGAATTTTGTTGTGTGATACATATTTGGTAAATCTTAGACTCCCTTGGTTTAGACATCAGCAGAAATCTTCTTGGAAACGTGACTATAGTAATCCTCCCAGAAATAATAATAAATTTTCTTAAAGACCGCCTTCGAATCCGTCTTAGAAAATCTGGGAATCTGCTTGAAAGTGTTCTTAAAAAGCTGTTGTTTATTTATTTATTTATAGATACAAAATTTTTCAGAAATCTTCGAAATCATTCACACTAGGTAAGATTTCAAATTGACTGATTTTACTAAAAATCTGCTCGAGTAGCTGTTTAGGAATTTTAGGCTCTTTTTACAAATCTGGGTTGACATTCTAAAAAATTCTAATTAGAAATATTATGAATCTTGGGAATTTAAAAATCCTTTGAAGTCAAAAAGTCTATTCCTTTTAGAAGTATTCTTATATGCTATCATGTAAAAGGTCTTCTTGGGAATCTTCTTACGCATATTCTTTGCTATATTAGAAGTTTCTATCAACAATCATTCCATATTCCATATAGCACAGATTTATAAATATATAATACGCGCAGAGTCATTTTGAGTGATTTGCACAATGGTCTACAGTGCTCACGAGGCTCACTATTAATAGCAAATACGGCGAATAATCCATTTTTGGATGATCAGAATTCTGATGCTAGCGGGAGAATTTCCATTTCTATCCGTAAGTTCAACACATACCGATACCAGTAATTTCATAGATTTTAAGCATCTCCAGCAGGAGTTCTCGATTAATAGTATCGAAGGCCTTCGGTTTATCAAAATAAATGCCCATTGTATATAATTCGGGAATATCACTGATGATGGATATAAAAAGGGCCGAAACAGTCGATTCCCCCTTAATAAATGCATAGCATACGTAAGTGATTTGTAAGGAAGTTAATTGCGGAAAACGATCAAAATGAATTAGATCAGGCCACCAAATTCACCAAGAATTGAAATGGAGTGGTGGTGGTTCTCGTTTTCGGGATCTGTGACAGATTTCAGTAAAACTTTAAATAATAGCACAAAGTTGTTACTCCTCAGTCCTCTGCAATAAACATCAGTAACAGGTAGTATAAGAATAATAGGGCTTCTACTTCTAAATGTAACTAAATTTCAGTGCTGGCTATCATAAATTAATCAAGCGAGCAAAAAATTAAGGGGCCTTCGAGAAGGTTTCATATACATTTAAATTATTTTCGTTAAAGCGTGATGCGAATAGAATTTTATACCAACTCAATTTGATGTTAATGTAATTTTTATAGCACGCCGTAGCTATAAATTTTATAACAAGGGAAGATTGGCACTATACAACAAGAATCGTGTTAATAAAATATTGAATAAGCCCGCTTGTTAGATAATGATCAAAGGTAAGCACTTACCTAAGATAGTCTCTTTTGCAAAGAATAAGATTAGCCTTTGTATATAACGTCGAACCAACTTCTCCGAGTCTACAATCACAACATCCACATTTAAGGCAGTCTTCGTGCCAGAATAGGTCCAAGGCTTTGAGGAGGAAACGTTCGGTGATACGTTTTCCACAACCCGCGCACTCTCGGGGACCGGAACTGTTGTTGTTTGCGGCGGTGGACACCGCCACCGGTGTCGGACCTGCCACTGCCACCGCCGTCCTGCTACTTGTTTGGTCTCCTCCAGATTCTGAAACAATAGAAACTGGCTAATACAACTTCTTGCGTAATTCCAAACAACTATCCGCGTACAGATGCTGTTTGATACTATTACACTGACCGATTGAATTCCACTTCTAGAACATCTTAAAGCACGAGAACCGCTTTAATTGGCTCACATTTTATTGGCATTACCGACCATTAATTACATGAAACAGGCAATTTGCATATTGTATATGACAAGCTTTGTACAACGCAGTTGTGTGGTTGAGCGAACGAGGACAGAAAAATTGAACGAACAAAAATCTTACAATCAAGGTTCAATAAAAAAATTAAATAATTAATCTACAAGGCATAATTAAAGATAATTGGAAACTAATAGCATTAGCATAAATTACGATTCCAATCACACTTCAGAATATACCACCTGACAACTCGATTAATAAATTTCAATTAATTTATTTGTCATTTTGACGTTGCATAATTGTGAAAAAAACTGAGAGATCTAAATTAGTTTAGAATTAATTGCATGTGAGTATTATACTCTCAGAAAAAAGGTCGTTAGTTATAGATTTTCTAATGAAAATTATTGTAAATTGCACCTTTCGACAATGGCAAAAGATAAAACGATAAAATAATAAACGATATTTGGACACCAACTTCTGAATAAGAACAATACAAAATATCCCGATTTTTAAAAGGTAAGTAATGGAGACATTAATTGAAAATATACCGATTTTTGGTTTTCTATACTACTCAACGTAGGCGCTTATAAGAAGCCCGTTTAAAGAAGTCGAATCCAATTTGTGAATGCTGTTAATTGAACCCAACAAGCATTCCAAACTTTAATTTTGGTTTGATGTTCGCATTATTCCGAAATAAGAGCATAAACACCTTCGATATTTCTGATTTTACTTACGCTACTTTTGTCGTTTCCGTCGTTACCTTCCGTTAGTTGTACAGAAATTTACTTCTTTGTTAACGTCACGTTCATGCTTTATATACCGTTTTGTACGGACAATCCGTGGTCGAGTCAAAACTTTGCTTTTGTTTAGTTCACGTAAATTGAATTATTGATTCTTATTAAGTATTAACTGCGGTTTTAGTATACGATTTACCTAGTACCAGACGTTAGACATTGCTATACCGCATTATTTTGTATCGGGCTATTCATTATCCCTCTTGTTTGTTTGTTGGTGTTATGATCTGTTACAGATAACACAGACACCGCCCTTAAAAGCTCAAAAAGCCGTTAAAACCACAGTTCAAAGATACTTTTTATTTTCGTCGGCTCTTTTATATAACGTTTGATTACATACTGGTTTTCGATACAATCGAATTACAATTACTACATTTTTTTGATATTCTATTAACGATTATAGCTCCGTTGTTTTATGGTAAGTATCCGGTTTACTATTGCTATAGTTCCGTTGTTCGTTTTGGTTAGTGTACGAGAACCCCGTCATACCCTCCGACCCACCTCTACTTTGCTTGAGCTTCGTGTGCTTATCTCGTGGTAATTTTGTCACGTTTACTCAATGTAATAAAAAAAACACACGTCGAAGCGATTCGGTATTAGGGAGGTGTGAAAAGCCCTTGTGAAATATACCCGAGGACCACAAAAAGACTTAAAGTCTATATATCAATCAATGAGGATATTGGGAAGGGAATCAAGTCCTTTATTTCTTGTCTCCTAAGAACCCTAAGGGGTAGGCCGAAGACTAATCTGTGGATTATACGCACCCGATTTACTACAGATATAATATTCGCATTTTGTCTTAATTTTTTAATGGGTGGGGTTTCAGCTAAGGCTGCTCTACCAACCCAACCCACTATACATTTACAAATATCCATGCCCGAACCCGGATTGGAACCAGGGACCCTTAGCACCACAGTTCAGCTTTAACTGAACTGCGCCACAGGGTCACCTTTTCTGTGAAACTCCTTATATTAGGGAAATATTTAGAAATCGACAAAAACTGGTTTCCTCCTATAATCGGGTGCGTATAATCCAACAAATTTTGGACTGACGGACGGTTTTTCGCTAATTTTAATTACTTCTTTAACTTGAGAACCGGGTTCAAAACGTGAATGACTTCGACCTGAGCTCTATGACGGCCCAAACGAATTTTTCTCTTATTACTCGCAATCTATACCGCATCGTATTTCTCATGAACTTCAGCGCATCAAAATTGATTGATCTGTTCAGAAATTATTATTCGTTTGCCTTTAAATACTATTTCACAGATAATGAGATTAAGGCAGTTATACAAAGAAGAACAACAGTGCATCTTTTTACGTCTATCATTTTTTCGTTACTTCGATCTAGTGACATTTCCATAAAACATTGGTACGAGGGGACGTAAGGATTGCAATTCCATTAAGCATTACACTACGATCAGAAACCAATTGCAATTACATGCCGAGTTCAGCAAACCACAGCGAATCCATATAGATAGATCATTTCGTGGGTGGCGAGGATGGCAAGTAAGGTGCACAAAAGGAACAGCTAAATTAGACTGACAATCGTGTTTTATTGCATATTAAGACAGTCAATGCAAACATGTAAAACGTATTGAACTGGCTCGTTTCCAAAACTGTCACATGAAGTAAATGTAGTCAAAGAAGTTGAAACCTAAATTGATGTAATGAGATGGAAATTGGATCACAAGGAACAATAAATTACAATATAAAGCCTACTTTAATTAAAGCGATAATTAAAAAAGATAGTATCTCCAAAGAGTAACGTAACGCTTGCCAAGATCGCTCCCATACACGTAATTCTCTGCACTGTTTAATTATAAGCGAATAAGCTGATATTAAGGGCGATATTAGCAGGAATTCGTATCGGGCTGCGACTAATTGTTGCATTAAACTGCAGCCTTGTTTTGTTTTAAGTGCCGTATTACAGTTAATGCCGATTTACGGACTAGACGACTTACGAGATTGCGAATTTATGACTGTACAGATGTCGGACGAATTTCAAATCTGAGCAAACTGCCACATTTCCTCATATTATATTAGGGGCACAATAAGATCTAGTAGGTACCTATAACTCGGTTGGTATTTGACTTTAGACGGTCAAATATCCAATATCGGCTCTAGTAGGGGTGGTCACTCGTAAGCACTCCACCTGTCGGGCCAATATCGCTGCATCTGACACTGGCATGTGCTCGTTCAAGATATTATTTCATTATACGCGCCGCAGATATTGCATATCTTATTGCTTGTTCGTGTGTAAAACTGCAATTTCAGATTATTCAGTATGTCAACACAGCGGGGCGAACCGTGGCACTTCATGAAGAGCCCTATGACTTACACGATCTACTAATATTAACATATGTACTAAGGTGAAAGACCTTTTCTTTTCCGGGTTATATTAATTCTATATGTACACTAAAGCAACGTGACATTGTTTTGTATGTTGTAAATGCAAATTTTCTACTTACAAGTATTGCAACCCCCGTCGTATTAACGACATCGACAATGATATATGCTTAAACGTAGCATTGCGTTTCTAACATTAATATTCCAAAAGCCGCAAGGAACTGTTTAAGAAAATACTCCATAAATGACTAATGTATTCGACAGTGACCCACGTATTTGTTAAAAGTCGCGAAACAACCTTTACTCAACGGGTTGCCTTTTACATAATATATTTTTTGCACAAAATGTCGATTATCTTTCAGATACTTTAATATGCCAGAAATCGAAATTATACCCTTGTTATATTAACGTAACACTTGGGTACTTTTTACCATTTTTTTGGGTATATTACATCTTGTTACAACAATAGCTGCAGTTTTGGGTCACCACATTTATTTCAAATGAGCATTTTTGGAAATGGCAGCTGGCGAAGTTCGTGGATCACACTGTAAGTATTTTATAATTGCCATGAATCATTTGCTTATTAGAGTCAAAAAGGAAAAAAAGAACGCCTCATTTAGGCGCAATCTCTGCATAACGACTTCAAGCGAGAGGCTAAAAAATAGACGGCCAAACGTATCAATTACGTATGACCGCGAATGTTTCTGATGTAGTGAACGTGGGCCAAGTGCCTCACCGAAATCGAACATATTATGTCACATCAGGAAGCGGAACCTTTGTTTACAGTTTGCATAAAATACTGATAGGGCGCAGCGTACTTCAAGCTTTTGTTTATGTACCGTTATCTGAATCATGTTTGTTTGCTACACGGTGCAGGTGACTATGCCATTATTTGCGATTTAACGATTCCGCGAAGGAAATACCTAATACAGCCAGATTCTTCGCTATTGCTTTCTTTCTCGTGGCTCGCTACCGGACAGTGCGTAAGCTATACGAGAAGGGGGGTCCTCGAATAAACTTTTCTTTTATTTCTGTTTTTCTTGGCCGATGAGAGTTTAACATGAATACCTGTTACTGGGATTCTCATGTACTATATTCATTTTAATTTATGGTAACCGACGCTGGAGTAGAATTTAGTGAATTTGGGGCTTTGGGCACTTTTAAAAAAACGTTAAACGTTTGACAGAGATCGCAAAGGGAAAATACGTGAGTCCCGTGTTAAGAAAAAGATCCTACATAAGCCTCATTTAAATTGCTCAAGTTGGAAATCTAGCACCTGAGACCTGAGAATAGAGTAAAATTTAATTTACGCAACATTTTCGTGCGGTTATTCAATAGTTCAATAGGTTTCTTCATTTGTAATTAGTTTGTAAGGTTTGTTATTCAATAGCGGAAGAGCAAATAAACGATCTGAGTATTGACTTTTATGGCCAGCTCTCCGTCCAACGACACACGACCAAAGAACTCCCTTTGAAAGGGGTCGTTCCACTTTTCTTCTACATTCTTGCGTATTTTGAATGTTTCTGATTTTTTAGTTGTCAGTAGTAAGAGGCCAGTACTCCCCACCACTCTCCACTCTGACGTCACGGTCACGTGCTTACGTCACGCCTCGTGATTGGTGATAAATTTGAATTTGTTGCGGTAAATTTGATTTTTTTAATTTCCGGATGGGATGTCGGCCATTTTGTCCCGGTAGATTTGAAT